TATATCGATAATTTTACTCATAAAACTCTGTTTCTCCAAAACATTCTCAACAAAGGAATAAAAAGTCCTTTTACTTGTAGTTTATCAATTGAACTCAAGGCCTTGTCTTGTATATATTCTAATATACATTATGAACATCCAAATGACCTCTATTAGCTAACTTCCATTTGAAATAATTAAATCATAGTTCAATAGGGTAAATTACAAGAGCCTATGATTACCAATTAAATTACTAGATAAATTATAAATATCAATGTTTAGTAAAATTGCATCATTTTTTTCAAAGACTGATTATCTTTAAATCCTTTGATTAGCCCAATTCAAGAACTTAATAAAAATTTAAACAAAACAATTACTTAATAAAGTGTAGCAATATTTTAGTCGTATTTTTAATATAATATAACAAATAACATTAATAAAATAAAATTATTAATTCATAAACCCAATTCATTCATCAATAATAATCTTCTTCTCTACTTTGAAATTATTCTTCATCATCATTTATATATTCTTCTCTTTCTTTTCCATATCCATACCCACGTCTACCTCTACCTCGTGTCTGATATTTTAAAAATTGCTGTTTGCACTCTTGTTATTAATTTTCTGCCTTTTTTGTACTTTCGTCTATGTAATTATCTTCATGTAAATTTCTATCCTATTATTAAGTTTAAAATTATCCTCTTGTTTTTATCTATGAGTCTTTTTATGATCTATAGTTTCCTTATTTTTAATCTTATTTAATATTATTTTTTTTTAATTAAGAATCTCTAACTCCAAATTAAGTTGGTTCAGGATTCTTAGCTCGTACATTATCATGAAATTATTAAATTTTTGTTATATAGTGATTAACAAGGATATTAGTTGATTTAGCAATTTATTATTATTTAATAGATAACTCTGCTTCATAGAAAGGTTTATAATAATTTTCTATAATTAAATAATATGTTTACTATTTTATTATAACAATTCTAATGCGTTATCTAAATTCTTTTTAAAAGTATTATTCATATTTATAATCTCTTTTGCAATATCCATCATAAAGGATTATTTATTTTTTTCAATTTATTAAACTTTGAAGACAAAGCCTTCGCAATACTCATCAGATTAATAAATCATTGTTTATTTATATCTGATACATGAGATTTATAATTATTTGTTCTTCAAATATTCTCTAATTTTCTCTAGGCAAACATCTGTTTAATTATAATCTATAATATCATATTAAGCTAATGTTATTCTATATTATCTTCCATTGTCTATTATGTCTAAATGTTTTGATTTTAGTTCTTTTTTCCTCTCATAACCTAAATATTTACGAAAAAGTATACAAAAAATTCTTCCTTTTTCATCATATCCCATTCTAAAAGATAATTGAGTGGCATAGGATAAAGCAAAGATAATATCAAGAGTAAACTCCCACCTTTATTCGCTTTTTATAGTTTAGCTTGCTTTTTAATAGTCTAATTAAGAAATAGCCGATTCAAATCTATAACTTTTTTTTTCTATTTTGCTTTCCACATTAATAAAAACATCTTAAAAGTATTTTAAATCGATTAAAGCCTCTTCTGTTTTGGCAATAATTGTCCCAACTTTAGCCTCTATTCTTAAACTATTGTTTAACTTTTGCTGCTAAATAAACTCTTCCAACTCATCAAATACTTAATTATTATTCATTTAAATAATTATCAATTAATAATTATACATATTTGATTTATAAAATATATTTTTTGTTAAATGGGTGATTTAAGAAAGAAACATAACAAAATAAAATTCAAATAATTGAAAAGATACTTTCTATTTCTATTTATATTTATTTCAATTTTAATTTTAATTTTAAATTAAAAATTACTCAAATTAATCATTATACTATAGTTTTCCTATTACTTAGGTCTCAAGTTATAGAATATTATTCAAAGCTGATTAATATTTATACTTAACTTGATCTAATTCCTATAATGTTAAAGTTATTTCTCTATTTTCTTATTTCGGAGATATGAATTATGATTTTTGTAATGAGATTTTGTGCATAATTGAGCTTTGATGTTAATCGTGTAAAGGTTACTAAATATTTGAAAGCCTTATAAAATCTTTTGGGTATCTATCCAAAGATGTTCTATGTAGACTACTTCTTATTTATCTATAAGGAGTTCTTAAAGATTCTCGATCTGCAGTTCTTTTTCGTCTCATCTTTTCAATAGCTTCAAGCTCTTCGGCTCTCTACCTTTTTCTCTGATCTTGTTATATTTAAAATTACGAAATGTTATCTTTCAACTGATCTATTTAGTAATAAAGGTAAATTATGCTCATTTCAAGTTTGTTTGCTCGTTTTATAGAAATTAATCTAAAATTACTTTTCTTTAATATTCTATGGTATCGTAAAGTTCTTATGGATCTCCATAATATATCCTACCCTTAATTCATTAATTTTATTTTCATAAGTTTTTCTTTCAGTATAGAATTCTAAGTTATTGGTAGATACCTATGATAATTATAAAATCTCTAAATGTTCTCTTAATTCATAAAGTTCATTTTATCTTTATTTTTCATATCTTACCCTTTCATGATACTTTTATAAGCTTTATAATAATTATTCTATTTTTCTGAAGAATTCTTAAATAAGCTATTCTTTTTCTATTTCATGCAAATCTTTTAATATTTTATATTAAAACTGACTCACTCAAAGAGTAATTTTGCTAAAATAATTATTCTATTTTTTATCTTTCTTAAGTTCTTATTTTTGTAAGCTCTTCCTTCAACTCATCTTTCAGGATTGATTAGAAAGATTACATATTTAATTCTAATTATTCTTCTTTTTCAGCTATTATTTAAATTAATTGGAGTTTCATAATTTTTTTAAATCTTCAATGTCTTAATTAATTTTAGTCAATTAAATTTCAAGCTGCTAATAATCAATCTCTACATTCTAATTTTTTGTTATCGTTAAATATTTTATTTAAGATTTTATTAATTCCTTAACAATTGTTAAAGAATTAATGTATTTATTTTAAATAGAGCTACCTAAATTTTGATTTTAAATATAATTTTAGAGTGAATCCATTAGTTTTTGAATAATGAAAGTTACAGGATTTTAGGTTTCTTGATGATGGAAATTTTATTTTTAAATTGATGAAACTTTTTATCTATATTCTAACTAATTACTAAATATTCACTTTCTTCCTTTTAACTTTTGATATTCAGTAGACTATTCTAATTTCATTTAGTTATCAAGTTAGGATTAATTTCTGAAGAAGACACTTAACTGCTCTCTATAAATTTTCTCTTATTCTCTCATTTCAAATTCAAATTTATTTTAAAAATAAAACTAATAAATTCTACATAAATCATTCACAAGCCATCTATTTAGTATAAAGGAATTTGATATAAGAATTAAAATAGTAATTTTTTGCTTTTTTTTTAAAAAATAAATTTAATAAACAGAGTTATGATCATTGGATTATGAGAATAATTATCACGAATTAAAAATAAATGCTATTTTATTAATTAAATTTTTTCTCATATAATTGTTATTGAATATATCCAAGAAATAATTTGATATTAAAATATAAGCATCGTACAATAGTTTACTTATTAAACATACTTATTGATTATTGGAAGAGCAAAGTAAATCAAATAGTTAACAAGATGAGTATTTTGAAGATTCAAGAATTTTTTATTGGTAGATAATCCACACCGAAAGAGGGGAAGCTTATTTGCAAGTACCCTGACTAACATTCGTAGAGAAAAGCTATGCTAGGAATTTAGAAGATAATTTAAAATATCTATTGGAATTATGCTCTTAAAAAAAGTCTAATTTATGAAAGCAATTGATGAAAATTAAGAATGTTAACAACTACTTCACATTCTAAAATTATTTATTACTCTTAGTTCTAATAAATCTTCTTGCAGCAAAGTTTTATGCATCCATTTATATTAAGAAAAATTTTTTCTCAAATCAAAATTGTTTATAAGGAAGTGAATTTAATAAAGTTATATCTGTAAGTTATATCTTTTTCCTAATTTTTGCTTTATATTAGCCGTAAACAGTTTGACGAGGTTAAGTTGATAAAAGAAGCAAAAAAAATTATGTTAATTTAAGAAATGATCTTGTTTAATACTCTCTTAAGTAATGTAAAATTATCTAAAACAAAAAAACTACTACTAAAATCCCTTAGTAATTTTTCTTAATGGATAATAATAATGTTCTGTCCAAAGCAGCTTAGTTTTTCACTAATATTAGCTAATGATTTTCATCAACTAGTTTACTTTTTGAGAGAGCTTTATCTATTATCTTAACCTAGAGGCTTAGGAAGTTTTAAAAGGCTTCTTATTAAAAATTAGGATTAGTTATTTATTTATACATCAAAATATAGAAGCTGATTCTAAAAAAATAATTAAATGATCGTGGTTTAATAGTGAGAAATATCACAAAAATACCTGCCTAAAACATAGCTTTTATTGAATCAACCTATTTTTTATCTATCAGATGAAAAATAATATAAATCGCAATTCCAACTTTAGTGGTTTACTATTTTTTCACAATTTCAAAATCATATAACATATTCTCAAACATTTTAAAATAAAATTAGTATTTTTTTCTTTAGAAAATTCAAGGTGCTCAATACAAAAAGATTAAGAAATAACCATCTAATTCGCTTGCTTTTTTAAAAAAGATGATTTTATTTATGATAAATATATTCTATTACATCTCTCAATATAAAGTTATTCTCAAGAACCTAGTATTAGCTCTCTTTCTCCTACAAGAATTTACGTCTACAAAAAATTTAGATTGCAAAATAAATCCTTTAACATTGTTGTTTTTCAAAAATTTAATTTCTTTAAACGAATTAAATGACTCAAATAAATTTTCCTTTTTTAGCTAAAATCTTCTTTTTTCCTTTAAAATTAAAAATTAAAATTTCAATATTGAAGGCATAGTGAGAAATAAAAATATTAATATAAAAACCTAAAAATCCACAATTTTAAGCTGAAGTAAAATTGCAAGCTTTCCTATCATATAAAACTTTAAAAAAATTTTTAGAATCAATTAATTTAATTCTCAATATATAGTATTATAAAATTTCGAAATGATTATTAATTATAATTAAAGAAAATCTTAAATAATAAATAAAAAAATATATACTTTGAGAGTTATAATTATATTCTTCCTTGCTAATTGCTCTAAATTTCATTTAAAATTTTTAATAATTTATTTTTATAAATAAATTAAAATTGAAAAATTAATTCCAACCCAAGAATTGAACCTAAATAAAATATTTCGATTATTTTATATAATTTACAGCTCAAGATAGTTTATAATATTATGCAGTTACTTAAATACTGGATGAAATTTTAGATACACTTTAAAATAAAATCAGGTCTCATTAAACTTTGAGTTTCTTAATGGGTAATAAGGTGGTGGAAAGTAGAATTAGGGGTAGGAAAAATAAATATTCTGGAATTGGAATGTTTAATAATTAATAAAAGGGAATGCCATTTGAGGAGGAACACCTTAAACTGAGGGTTCAGAAGTTTAAGAATTATCTGAGTTTGGCTCAATTTTGATACAAGGTTTCTTTGTTTTGCCTTCTTTTAAAATCGATGAGAGAAGAATAGGATCGTAATTATTTTATTCGACAATTAGATTTTGAATTAGTTATTCAACTACCTTATTATCGTAACTCTTCTAAGCTATATTAAATATATACAGATCCAATTTCATTCAAAATTTTTCTAATTATAGAATTATAGATATTTTTAATCTAATTATCTGTTCGACCAGGTAACATTTTAGAAATTCCAGCCCAATTTTTATTATTATTCTGAGCTTCCCTAAAAATAAAAAGTATTTCATCTTTATTGAATTCATTTCTAGATTAGAGCAATGATTACTTGTTTATGCTTGGATTTACAACATTATTGAATCGCTCACGAATCTATTTTGGATATCTTACAGTTTAACTACTTTTAATAAATTCTTTTGCAATTTTTATCCAGTCTTTAGGTCCAGGGTATAGCCTATCTTGAAAATTACTCTTACTATCTCAATTTTATTAGTAGGTCATCTTCTTCTGGTTTCCAAGGCTGTTCTTTAAGTTTATAATTCAGCAGGCTCAACCATTTAGTCATCAAAAATTCTTCTGGGAGACCAAAAATCATTGAGAGCTTTTCAAAGACTTTCCATTAATGCTATACAAAATTTATTGAGAAAAAAGTATTACAAGATCATGGAATTTTAGCTAAAGCTTTATCATCAATTTTGAAACACACCATATCAATAGATACTTTTCGTTATCTCCCCATTTACATCTTTTTTTAATTTTTGCTCTATTTTGTTATAATAGTTTTTATACTTTTGAAAATCTGAGCTGAAATATTATATAATTTAAAAAGATGTCATGCTTATATCTGGTATCTTTATAAATTAGCTAATTTAAGGTTTGTCAAGCTCATTATCTTAAATATCACTTATAAACTCAAGAAATTCATTCCAAGTAAGAGGAATCATTTTAATTCAAAAATAAATTATCTTTTTTATTTTTCTTTTATCCACAGATAAACAAAACTACAGAAATATCTAAAATAAAATATCTATTTAGCACTACTTTTAAAATATGTTAATGTTATAATGTTAATAACAAAATAATGAAGTTTAAATTTTAATGTCAGAAATTATTTTTTAAGTGGATATAATGTTTTTATAATTAATTTATAACATTTAATAATAATAATATTGATAGCCTTGTTCTTGAGTATAAGAGACAATGAATTGAACTTACATTAAAAATTTTGTACATCTAATTAAATTTCTCCAAATTAATCACAATGAAAACAATTTCATTTATATTTTCAGAAGATCAATCATTTTAACTTTATTTTTTTGAGTTCAAAATTTTTTAATACAACAATTTTATCAAACTTATTATTCATATGATTGAATTTACTTTGGGACTGATTATGATACTTTCACATCTTAATCATTTAGTTTATTTAATCGAATGTAAAATTAATATAATTTAAAATTTTCTGTTTATTGGTTTACCTAAATTTTTTTTTTGTAAATTGATAATTATTCTAAGATCTATAATCTTTTATGAATTAATATTTTTTTATAAATAATTCAAATCCCTTATCTGTCAAATGAAAATTCTAGCTTTCCTTTAAATAAAATCTTTCAAAGGCAATCTCGAATTGAAAGAACTGAATTTTATAGATGCCAAAGAAAAGAAAAAGTTTGTTTTATATTTAAATATAATGACATGAAGTATAAAAATATTTTTTCATTAGATAGATAATTCTTGTTTAAGCTTGAAAGGAATAAATAAAGGAAAAGATAATATATTCAAATAAAAAGAATGATTTATTTTATGATTGAGTTCGTGAAATGAAAACCATAAATCAAATATTTTTGAAAATCCATCAATATTTTCTTGTTTTTATTTATTTAGCCCAATAATTATCCAAATTAAAATTGCTGAGGAAAAAAGTATTTTTTTGTAAAAATAATAATTCATCCAAATCTTAATAAATTCCCTTTTTATTTTTCTCAAATTTATTTGAAATTATAGGTGGCTTCAATTATTTTGTGAATAATCAAAATAATTTCTTCTAATAAAAGGAGATAATTAGATTATAAATTATAATTTATGAAAATGAAAATGAAAAAAGTAAACACTTTTTCTGAACTATTTCTATTTCTTGCATCTATCTATATTAACTAATATGAATATAAGTTATTTAAGATAAAATATTATGAAAATCACATGGAATTTTGGTTCTAATCTTGTGGCGATTCTTCGAAATAATTAAAGTCAATGAATAAGGCAGCTGCCAATAAAAGTGCCTTTTATTGACTTGTTGATTAAGGAGGAAATAATAATCTAAAATTTGTTGCATCCACACCACATAAAGCATTACAAAATCCTGCAGATTCTTTCCACAACTCTGAAACTTTCTTAACATATATAAATTAAGAGATACCTATCCTTACGAATCAGTTATATCAAATCTTGCTCTTTAGCATGTTTCACAAGGTAATTAGACTAAAAATGGCCATTAACAGCAGCTTCCTTTTACAGAGTATACTAATTAATTATTTTCATCTCTTATTTCAACTCCCTTGTCAAAACACATAAATGGATAACATATAAATCCAATTTTGCCTCCATTTTATAATTAAACTTCCATCATAGGCCTAAATTTGATTTTTTGCTTACCGAGCTAAACAAAGGAATGTACATTTGAATTCTCTACTCAATCTAAATACTGTATTGGTGTCTTATTTTTAATCATATTATTTGACTTTCAAATCAAATGCACGACAAGCTCCTGGAAGAAAGTTTCTTTACCAACAGCTACTATCCTCTTTACATTTAAAAATAGGAGCTTGATGCTTAAAATCAGGTTTATTTCCCATTGAATCAGATTAATAAACATAATAGACATTTTTTTTCTCACATAATCCTAAAGCTTCTAAATAATCAGGACGTTATTTGATATAAACACTGGAAAATCTAGATAATGCCTCTAATCCTGAATTAAATGAAGTCTATTTTTGTGATATAATTACATCAATCTATCCAGGATTAACATACTATTGTTAAGGTAATTAGTATGCTGGTTAGTATTACATTTTGTGAAATTTATTTTATTAATTATTAATTGAGATTTTTTATTTAGAAATAACAAAAAAAATATATCTATAGAATAATACGATTTTTTCAATAGAATGAAATTACAAAGAGATCAAACAAATTCGTATTAATATTATGGTTTAATAAAAAGTTATTTTATATTGAGTGAATTTAATTTCCAATCTTGAGTTAGAGCTTTAGCTTATATACTTAAATTTATTTTATTTATCTTCGTAATTACTTCATTATTAAGTTCAAAAAGTAATTATTTAGATGAGAATATAAGTTAAAACTAGAAAATAAACATTTCTATTTATTAAAATAGTAAAAAAATGAAGATCTATTATGTTAGGCATGGATAATCAATGAATAATACAATCAATGATCTTTCAGATTAAGAATATGAAAAGCTTCGCTAACAAGATCCATAATTATCTGAATAAGGTATTAAATAAGTTAGACTTCTAACTGATTATCTTAAATAAAAAAAAATTGATTTTGAAGAAATAAGATGTTCCCCTTAATAAAGAGCAATTCAAACAGCATAATTAATAAACGAATGTTATAAAGTTCCAGTTAAAATCTAGTAAAATTTACACGAAAAAGGTGGTAATTAACTTTTGAATTAAGGTTTTCCTGGATTAACAAGAAAGTAAATATTTCAACTAATTATAATAGGGAATTTTAGATTAAATACCCAGAAGTAATAATTGATGAAATAATAACAGATGCAGGATGGTATTTTAAAGATAAAAGAGAAACTGATGAAGAATGCAAATTAAGAGCAGAAAAGGTAATCCAAGATTTGTAGAATGAACCCTAGAAATCTATCTTAATTATTGGACATGGTAATTTTATGGATATGGTTATGGGAACGGTTTGTGGAAGAGCACAGAATTCTAAATATTTTTATTACCATTAAAATTGTGGCATCACTTTACTTAAAAATGATGGTTATGGATTTGAAATAGATTATTATAATGATTATTCATTTCTTGAAATGCATTACTTTAAAACAGGGGAGGATTTAATATTAAAAAGGCTGGCCAATTATAAAGGTAAAATTTGAAAATTTTGAGTAATTATAAGCATAATCATAAATTTTATTAATCTTCTTTATATAATTGTCATTATTTGAAATACATAGATGAATTACAATAAATTATTTTTTATTATAAAAATAAATACTTCAAAAATTTATCATGATACTTTAATTGCAAGATCTTTTAATAAAAGCAAAAAACCGGATTGAGTATTTTAATGATATTAATCTTGATATAATAGCATAATGGGTGGCAGAGTTTAATGAATGTGAAAACCTTTTTAATTAACTAATTTAAAATTAGGATGCTTAAAAATTCTAAGAAATTTCATCAACTCTCTAAAAATTAATTAGCGAAATAGAAATAATTAAAACAGAAGGAATGACTTTAGTTGGTAAATTTAAACCATGGATGAGTGGTATTGGGATGATAGATTTTCCATATGGGTATAAAATATATGGATAAATCACATTTGGAATTTTAAATGGGAAAGGAGTGATTATAAATACAAAAAGTTAAATGAAATTAATAGGAATATTTAATAATAATAAATTATAAGGGAATGGAACAATAATTCTAAGAAACAAATATGAGATTAATGCATAGTTTGATAATGGTAAAATAACATCAGGTCTAACCTTGATCAGGTTTTTTAATGGAGTTTAGAGGGAGTATTAAATATAACTATTTAAGGATCACTACTAATTTAATAATTGATCAAAATTAAGTCTAATATATGAATCTTAATTATATTATTGGATAAGATTTTTAATACATAGCAGATGAATTTATATAAAATCAAAGGCCATAAAGCTCTTTTAAAATCCTTTAAAACTAAAATTTAATAAAAGAATACAGAGATAAAAGACTGATTAATGGGAGTGGTTTCAATGAGATTCAAGATAATGAAAGATTGCATGGAATGTTTTAAGATGGTGTTTTAAAAGGTTAAGGAAGATTGACAGATAGAGAAAATAATTTGTATAAATAATTTAATAATAAGAATATTAAAAGGAGAATTTGAAAATAATAGATTTAAAAGTGGTATAAAATATTATTTTCAATCATAAAATATGTAATTTTAATTAATTATTAAATTAGACATGAAAATGGCAATTTTGACGAGAACCGTTTATTATATGGATAAGGTATCAGATATTACGATTATCCGGATAGGATGTAAAATGATGAAAATATAATAGCCATGAATAAGGGCAGTTTAATAATGGATTATTGCATGGTGTTGGAGAAAGATTTTATAATTTATAAATAAATGATTAAGTGAGAAATATAATTAGATTTAATTAGGATGAAACATTTAGAGAGATGGGATAATTTGAAAATGGAATTTTAATTGAAGGTACAAAGTTTTATTAAAATGGAAATATGTAATATCTTAATTTTATATTTCAGTAAGGAGAAAGGAACATTTAATTAGCAGGGTCTTATAGGTGAAGGAGAAAGAAGACATTCGAATGGCTATATGTATTAAATATGGTTAAATTAAGATGGGAATATGGAATATTTAAAAATGGATTATTGAATTCAGAAAATGAAAAATCTGGGAGAGTAAATGATTAAGGGGTTTTTATAGAGATTGGATATTTTATAAATGGAAGTCTTTAAGGAGAAGGAGAGAGATACTACAACAATTAATAAAAGTATATTATAAAGAATATTAATTGAGAAAAGAAACAGGATATTTTAAAGAAGGGTTACTTCATGGAAAAGGAATTAAATATTATAATAATTAGAATAATTAAATTTAAGAAGAAGGAGTTTACAAAGATAATTAATTACATTCTCAAGAGATTTGCATATAATATTATGAGGATGGATCTATCAAAAGTCAAGGATCCTTCTAAAATGGATTACTTAATACTAATGATGGAGCTTTGTATTTCAATGAATATGAAATGAGAGGTGTTTTTAGAAATGGACAAGTTAGTGGAACGATGAGGATTTATAATCGTCGTACTAATACTGAATTTGTTAGCCATGAATTTCAAGGCAATGAGAATTTCTTAAGATAAGCATATGTAAAAGGAGTATATAATTCAAATAAATTAAATACAAATGCTGAAAGTAGTGAAAAGAGATAATAATGAATAAACAGTATTCAATATTTTTATTTTTACAATTATTTTGCATTTATAGGTGAAATGATATCTATTAATTTTCTTTTAGACAAATTCTTTATAATAAATCTGTAATATTATTTACAGGAAGATAAATATCCTATTCAAATCTTTAACCTCTGTATATATATATTAACAAAAGTTTCTTTTAGACAGTTATAAGAATCGGTAATTACTATTTGAAATTATGGCTTATCATTAATCTCTTTTAACTCTTTATTAAATTTTATGCTTATAATTTATTTTTGAACAGCTACACAAATATTTTGACACAACTTAAATAACAAATTCCTTAATATAATAAACACTATTTATTTAACAAAATCTTTCACTTATCAATCAATCCCTCCAGTTACCAAAGTATTGCATCCTTATTCAAATTTTGGATTCTCACAAAAGATTATTTTACTCTCTTTTACTAATAAATAACCAGAATAAACAAAAAACTATTATTCCGATGCATTTTATGATTTCTATTTTGATATATAAATTAAAAATGAATACAAAATATATTTAATTGATCTTAAAAATATTGTATGTTTCTTTTAGAAACTAAAATATAATTAAAAATGTCTTTTTCAAATGAAGTAAACATTATGAAATAATTTTATTGTATTTATAAAAATTATCACTTAAAACATGAATTGAAAACAATGGCTTTTGTGGAATTAGAAATTAAAGATAAGAAAAAAATGATAATATTGAAAATTGAAATGTGAGTATATATTATAATTAATAATAATAATAATAATAATGTTATAATCATTTTTGCTTAGTTTAGCATCTGGTATAGTACTATTTATAGTTTACATGTATCACAGAGCAAATTTATCAGAAGGATCAGCAAACTATAGATATTATAATGAAGCAGTGAAAGGAATGTCAAGATGGCTAGAATAGACGGTTGATTTAAGCTAAACTCATTTTTAACCATGCAAGTATTGGAGTTTAACATACATAGAAATTGTGGATATGAGATAGCCTTAGTGCATGATAACTCTTATTGTATTAGAAGTGACCTTTTTAAAATGTTGCATCCAGAAGTAATAATATAGGATCAAATGGTATTAAGAGATTATGGTGGTTAAGATTTGGCAAGAAAGATAATCTAATAAAATATGTATGATGCTTTACCTAGTTTTGTTCAGACTAGATAGATTGAAATTGGATATCATTAAACTCCTTTAGAAACATCAATTGTATATCCATATGCTAAAAATTATTTTCGAACACATACATTTGGAAAATAAGCTGGATGTATTTTGTAGAAATATTTTCATGTTCCAGGACAAGAGGAAATTGCACTAAAATCGAATCAATCAACACATTTTCATAATTATATAGATAATTTGAAATTAGAAAATAAAAGTTCTGAATGCATAAAAGATGCAAGTTATGAGAAACCAACATTTAGAATGTGGTTAAAAGAAGAGTGTGAGAATTTCTTTGAGATAATAAATACATAATAATATAAAGATAAATTGGAGAATGAGGGAATTTAATACATTTATAAAACAAATAGACATTTAGGAAATGGGATATTACTATTAGATTATTAGAATGAAAAAATAATTAGATCATGGTATAAAGATAGTATAGCTTGTGGAAGAAATTAATCTTAAGTGATAATATAAGAATATTTAAAAAATCCTTATTTATTTAAAGGACATAAAATGGAGTTTCGATCTTATTTTTAGATAGCATCTACAAATCCTCCAATTTTATATGGATATAAAAAAGCATTAATAAAATAATGTGCTTTAAAGTTTGATTTATTAGATTTTACCAAAGAGGCACATGTATGTAATACAGCAGTAACAAAAACACATAAACAATAAAGTGGTTAAGAATAAGATGATGATCTTTATATTGATTGGAATTTAGAAGAACTATAAGATATATTAATATAGTAAGGAAAAATAAAGTCTAAAAATTGGTTGAAAGAAGAACTTTATCCATAAATAATGAGAAAAATAACTCATTTATTTTTTTCGGTTGAAAAATATTTATTGAAAGATAGTAGAGTAGGAGAATTTTTTGGAGTTGATTTCATACTTGATGATGATTTGAATCTTTGGATATTTGAATGTAATAGAAATCCTAATTTTTTGGCTGTTACAGAAGGAAGAAAAGAGAAATTTGGTAAACTCATACCTGATATGTTGGAAATTTAGATGTAGTTAGTTAGAAGTAGATATAAAAGAATTAGAGATTTTATGAACAATAAATTATTACCAGCAATCAAATCTAGATAATTTTAATAATAACAAGACAAATTCAAAGAAGAATTTCTATAATTAATGAAAGATAGATTTGAACCTGAATATTAAATATCAAAAAGTAATTTGGCTGAATTAGCATACATTGGAGAGGGACAATTTAATGGATATATTAAAAAACAATGTTTAGAATCAAGTAGAGTATTAAAAAAGTGAGTATTTATATGTATAATCATAATAAATTAAATTATTTTATGCTTGCTTAAAAATAGATTAATAATAACTTACTATTATCTAAGCTTAGAGAAGTTGAAGAAAGAAATGATACAAAATCGGCTCCATCATTTATGAATCAGACTGTTACTATTAATAATTAGCATATAAGTGATTAAATTCGAAAGGCTAAATAAGAAGCATTAAGTTTACATACAAGTTGCAAATCTACTTAACATTCTCCCAAAACATCATTAGATCTTTCTGAATTTATTAAACAAACTAAAATGTAATAAATGACCTAATAAAAATTGTTGATGGATAAAAAATTTCAAAGACTTACTATTTCTAAAGTACGTGATGATGTCAGCCATTTTTATGATTAAATAAGATAGCCTAAAACAACAAGTAAGTTTATTTTTATAAATAGGGGAGTAACGTGGCTTTTAACCAAGACGTTAAGGAACTACTTTTCATAAAAAATCACGTAGTGGATAACAGATTCATTTGATTGATATGAAAGAATATTAAAAATTAGAAGGAGGTTTGAACAAAGAAATCTCATCTTTGCATACAGAAGATCCAGGAGGAAGAGTTTAAAGTATTCAATTAAAAGATTGGTTTTAAAAATAATAGTCTAAAGATTTGATACCACTATTAACAGTTACAATGAATGAATTAATTAAATCATTGAAAAGAGAATGTTTAGAAAGAGGAGAGTTGGTTGAATAAATTTGGGGAAAAGTTATTCAAATGGTGAATAAGATTTAATTTGATGCTGAAATATTAATTAAAAAAAATGATGTCTTAGTAATGGATGAATAAGCTCGAGTTTATTTTATCTATTAAGAAAAGATGTCTGATTTACAAACTTAAATTTAGGATGTCTCACTTAAATATTCTTAAGAAATTTTATAACACAACATTTGCAAATCAGAATATAAGGAATTAGAGACTAATTTCAAAAAAAACAGAGCATAATTAAATGATCTAAGAAAAATTGCATCATTTTTATAAAAAAAATTAAAGTAATCTCATTAAGAAATAGAAATTTTAAATAGAAAATTATAAACAATTACTTTAAAATAAATAGAATCATAATAATAATTATAAAGGGATATTAATAGTAGTAATTAATAGGGTAATAGTTAAAAGATTTTGATAAAATAAGAGAGTATGTTTTCATAAAGATAATCATAAATAATGTAATCAACGCAATAAAATTAGGTATAATAATTCTAGCCTTAAAAAGTGTTGTAACATATAACTAATTAAACTTAAATATAATCAGGAAGAAGAATGTCTTATTTAGGTAATTCTTAAATACAATAAACATAATAAGAGAAATCAAGTTCATCTGAAGAAGATGATTTAATGGATGGATTGTTGGATGATAAAAATATAATAGAGATGGATAATATGGTTATGAATATGGATAAGATTATAAAAGTAGCATGTATAGAAACTTAAGTTGAACCAGACTTACTTCTTTTATATTAGAAAACCGAAGAAATCTAAACAAATATAACGATGATACCTAAGGATTATAATTTGATTACTGATTCTTAATCTAAAATCTAAAGTGTATTGGAGTAATATAAATAAAGAAGTTAAGTAGAAGAGGCTCTCAAATTGTGTGAAGACAAACCAAATAAAGCATTTTCAGGAAGATAATTAAATTAGATAATAGAATCTAAATTTCTCAATAAAGATGTACCTTCACCTGGAATGAATAAAATAAATTAGTTAAGACAAGATTCTTTTAGATCAAAGAAAGCTATAAATTAATCTAATGATTAAGTAACTAGTAATGATTAGAGTATGGATATAAATTCAGATCGATATTTAGACTTAGAAAAAGTAAAGACTCTTGTTATAATGATGTAAAGTTTGGAAAATAAAAATAAAGAACTTTAATATATAATTGATTAGATGAATGATAGATGTAATTAACACATACAAGAATTAGAAGAAACAAGAAGTAGAGCAGTATCTATTGGAACATATAAAATTTTGAAAGAGCAATAATCACAATAGTAAATAGCATAAAAATAATTGGATGGGGAATCATCTTCTGAACAATTTACAAAATTCAATTCATCATAAAAAATGATAAAGAGATAGAAAGATCATAAAAAATTGAATTAAGCTAAATTAATTTTCAAAGGTCCTTAATTGGGTTAGAAAGTTAATATAGTATATGAATTCTAAAAAGTAAATGCAGGTCCATAATTGGTTGAAAAAATAAAACTTAAATAACTACCCAAAATTAAACATTTTATGCCTCTAAAATTACTTTTAAAACAAATAACTGTAATTTATTAGGATAGGATACAATAGTAAAAAGATAATTAAGCGTTTAAAGATTAAGATATGGCTTCATTTGTTTATAGTTATTTTTTATAATAGTTTGGTATAAAAAAGATTGCTGAATAGAAATTTTTGATTCTTTTAGTATCAGTCAAACATTATAAATAACTGGTAAGAATTAATAACTTTGCAAAATTTTTAGGATTATTTGATGATTGTGTTAATTACACAATAGATGAGATGAAAAAATACTTGGAAGCTTTTGATTATGTTACAAATATTTCAACTTTGGGGATATCAATTGCAGATTAAGAATCCGAAGTCAGATATTTTGTTCCATATGTTAGAGCATAATAATATATAGGAATGTTTGCAGATTCAAGAATGACTGTTGAAGAGAAAGAGGAATTAAAAAAGGAATTAGATTTATTAAAGGAAGTAGACACAAAAACAACTAATAGATAACCAGTAATAGATTTTGATTAATTTATGATTCAAATGTTTGTGAAATATAAAATATTAGTAAGTAGAGCTAAAGAATATGTAATAAATGCATTTGCTGCATGTGATTTAGGTAACACTATATAATATATATTTAAATTAGATGGTAATGGAATGTGTAATTTTGAAGAATGGTATTTATTACTTAGACATATAGAACCTGATAGATTAACAAATGATGAGATATCTGAAATATTTTTCGCAAATGCTGATTTATTAATTAAAGGAGAATAGAATTTTTCATTTGAAAAATTTGCAGTAGTGTGTGTAGAATATGGTTTATTTTCAGAAGAGGCTTAAAATCAGTTTTTATAAATAAAAGGGACAAAAACTGAGATAATGATTTAAGTAATAATAGTTAATAAAAATTGATAGTTTTAAAAATTGTTAGATGGATGGTTAGGATAAAGAAAGATAATAGAATAAAGATTTGAATAATTGACTTTATTAGAAACTGAGAAGATAGATTCTTGGAGAGAGATAATAGAGACTTTGGAGAGAAAGATACATGATTTAAAAGAACATTTAACTTAGGCTGGAGTTGAAAAGAAAGTAAAGCCACTTTTGATAGCTAATTTATTGTTGAATAAGGAATCTGAAATGTTGTTAGAATTATAAGAAGATATGGATGATGATGGATCACCTAAAGCAAGAGGATTTCAACAAAATTTTGGATCAAATGAATCGATTCGTTTACAAATGGATATTATAAAAGAATGATGAATTAAAATTAAAATATATGTTTTCATCTCTATCTACAGGTTATGATGATTTATGGAAGGCCATAATTAGACCTCCAAGAGATAACGAGTATACTGAGTAGGATTTAGGTATCATAAATATGTATATTTAGGTCCCAGTCAATTTAAAATATAAGGAGTATAGATTAAGAGAAAAGACTTTTAAATAAAAAATAAGAGAGGACTTAAATTGGAATGCTCATTTTTTGAGCCAGTTTAAAAACCATGTGAACAATTACCATGTGTAATATACTTGCATGGTAATAGTAGTAACAGATTAGAATGTTTACCTTCATTAGAGGGTCTTCTTCCGGTATTGTTATATAAATATATATAATAGCAATATATATAAGTGTTTAGTTTTGATTTTGCAGGTTGTGGTAAATCTGAAGGTGATTATATTTCTCTTGGATGGTACGAAAGAGATGATGTTGAAGTTGTTGTTGAATGGTTACGTTAAAGCAACAAAGTTTCTACTATAGGATTATGGGGAAGATCTATAGGAGCTGTTACTGCCTTAATGCATGCAGATAGAGATCCTAGTATTGCTGGTTTAGTTTTGGATAGTGCATTTTCAAATTTAAAGTCATTAGCAGAAGAATTAGCTAAGTAATATGCTCAAAAAGTTCCATCATTTGCTATATCTGCTGGATTGTCTATGATCAGAAAAACTATTTAATCCAAAGCTAATTTTGATATAGAAAATATCAATCCACTTAAGAATCATGTTTCTAAGGCCTTCATACCTGCATTCTTTATAGCTGCCGATGAAGATATTTTCGTTTTACCTCATCATACTAAAAAATTATATGATGCTTATGCTGGTGATAAAAATATTGTACTCACTTCTATAACATTTTTATATAGTCTATTGTCCCAGGTGATCATAATTCTAGTAGACCATCTTATGTTATGAATTCAATAGCCATTTTCTTTTATAATACTTTATAAGTTAAATATTTGGTCCCTGAATTTAAAGTAATTTATTTTTATATCTCAAACAGCCAGATCAATAGAAACCTGACAATAATAATCAATTTGAGGATTTCAATCTCATAAATCGATACAACAATCATGTTGGTAATGCATTTTAAGTTCAGGGAGCTATCAATGAATTAGATGATGATGAGGATTTAAAAAGAGCCATTGAAGAAAGTCTTAAAATATCTGATTAAGAGCCAAATCAATAAAATTAAGAAAATTAATAAAATAGACCATAAGTTTAACCATATAAATAATCTGAAGACCTATTAAAATTTTCAGACGATGAGAGTTTGCTATGAAAATATGATTAAGATCATTCGTTTAATTTATCAACTATTTCACATAAAACTTATGAAGTTTATCTGTATTATTTTGGTATCTATGATAATTATCCTAATCTTTATTCTATATTATCTAATTCTAAATGAGGTTTAAATCTTTGCATTGCTAATGTAGAGACAGAGAGTTTCTAATCTTCTTCTCTAACTCCTAATTATTCTTTTAATTTTGAAATCTCATATTCTTCAATTAAAATCTAAGAATTATTAAACCTAATTACATTATCGCTCATTCTTTTAATTGCATTTAATTTATTTTATAATAATAAATTCTCAATAGCTTCACTCATGTATGTAAGATCATCCATCAAAGTCAAATCAAATTTATCTATTATTCTTTATTCTCCGTTTACATATTATATCTCACGAATACAACACATTTTGGCTATGTCCTAAAAATCAATTAATTCATCAGCTGATTATTTCAATAAAATCTTTTTTAAATTCTTTTTCATTCCAATTAAATTTTTTACTACTTAAAACATCTTTCTTGAATTATTTAAATAATCCTAAAATATAATTTTATTCTATACTTTTAATTAATGTAAATTATGAATTAAATTAAATATTTATTTGCTAAAATTAATATATTGCTAAGCGTGTGGATTCTTAATGGTTTACAAAAGTGAATATTTTTTTTTTGATTCCTGTTATTCTTTAACTTTTTTAAATCTTTATATTAAAGTTTGGCTTTCAAGTTTCATTATCTCAGTTTCAGTTCGAATTTTTTTCATTACAGCCTATTTAGTTGGCTATTTTGATTTTCTGATTGAATTTAGATAATCTAAGTAATCATGCAAGTTTTATTCATCACTTCTTTATATTCGAGGGGTAATAGATGGTAATAGTTTTTATCTAGAAGTTATCGTACTTTCTCCGTTAATAGTAGTTTCATTTCCAGGCAGAGCAGTAATATTGAGAGGCCGAATTTTACTTGAATTTCCTTACCTTATTGGTGTCACTGATTAAAATCTTTTTGTTTGTCCTAATGAACTAGATTTCTGAGTAGTAATAGTTTCTGAATGTTTGAATTTTGGAAACACTAAATGATTTTTATATATGAGACTCATTAAAAAAATTATATATAATTTAAAACTTCTCTATTATTTTTACTTTATTAATAAGCTCACATATCCGCTTATTACTACATAGTTAATCTCTTTGTTTGATTTTACTTACAGACTTCATTATTAAAATTATAAAGCTTTATTAGTTTATAAAGTTATGAACTAATCAAATAACCTTATTTGGATTGTTAGAAGCTTTAAAGTATAGAAAATCTAAAAAATTCATTTATTATGAAATAAAACCCAAAAATGAAACTTAAACTAATTTTAACTCTTAAAATATAGTTATCCCTTAATCAACTGAAATACAAATTTTTATAAAACTTAAAATAAAGAGAGATTGGATTGGAGAGTAATATATATCATAAAAATACCGTTTCAATTAAGATTTAATCTTAACAATATTATTAATAGTTATTTCTAATTAATTAATAATAATTAACAATCATTCTAAATAATCAGAATCTTTTATTTTATTAAAACTATTGTTTTATTATTTACTCTTGATCCTATAGTTATTTTAATAAATCAAATGAATTAATTAATCAGATATCTTGAGTGTAAAAATTATTATTTTTAAAATAATTAAATTTAAATGAGACAGAAATGAGATCTTATTCATTTTAAAATTATTTTAATAAATTTTCAACCATTTTGATTTGCATAAATATTTTTAAATCTGAAAAATTATTCTGATATTTAAATTTATACTTTTATCAATAATGAAGGTATCATAAATTTATAGTATATTTCTAAAGAGATTCAAACTTCTCCTCTAGAGGTAAAATAAATTAAGATTTTATTCAAGCAATCTTTTAGTAATAGCTCCTAATTCATCTTATTGAAAAATAAAAAATGAATTATTTATTCAATATATTCCGTATATCATTTAATAAATTATTGCTTAATGGTAATTAGTAATTAATAGATTTTAAGTTAATCTTGACAAAATCAAAAAAACTTTTTATTTAATATTCATGCCACATAGTTTTAAATAGTATAAGGAAAGCTCAAAATTTGGAAAAGTATAAAATCAAATCACTATCTGAGTATGTGAATTCAGTCCCTTAATATGATAATAAATAGATCTTAAAGTTAATTATGAATCTTTATCTTCTTTTTCCATTTTGGATATTCTTTAAAATAATTTAGATTCCCTTTTAAATTACCGAAATTGAAGATATCAGATATTTCTTTTAAATATTCTGAATCTGATCATGGTAATTTTAATTTTCACATTTATTAATAAGCACTAAATACAAAATATAATATATAAAAATTTTGATGTAAATTGTTTTCATAAAAGTTAATCAGCATCAGACACTTCTTCTTTATTTATGGATTAATTCTAAAATAAATTTATGCATTTTTTACAATAATTCCAACACTATTAAATAACTTATCTTCCATTTATTCTGCCACTGGATCATCAGGCAGTTTTTCATCTTCCTCAACTTAATTTTACAAAGGCTTACTTTAGACTAAGGCTGGATTATTAAACTTATTATGATCTGTACCATCTTCAAATTTTTCATCACCATATTCATCTTCAACTTTCGATGATTTTATAACTTAAGCATCATTTTCATTTTTTTCATTCTCTATTTGAATATCTTATTAAACCTACTATTATAATTGTAATTAATTGTTTTTCTATTATGCTTCTTACTCTTATTCTCTTTCTTTTCTTTTTTCCTCTAATATTTTCCTTCCTTCTTCTTTCTATTATTTCTTTTTGTATGCTTTTTAAATTTTAACAGCAACATCATCAAGTTCTTGTTATTCTTTTAATTTTAAATCTTCTTCTTTCTTTCTCAATTCTTCTAATCTTTTTTCTTCCTTTAGTTCTTCTAATAATTTTTTTCCTTCTGATTTATTTTTTTTATGTCTATATGCTCCTTATATCCTTGATGCTGCCATATTAATTTCCTCTTCCTTTGCTTTAATTTCTTTCTTAACTTCCAATTAATCATCAAGTTCTTTTTCAAATTCAAAATCATAATCATCCTCATTATCTTTTTTATCTTTCTTTTCTTTTGAACCTTTTTTTTAGTTTTATGAATCTCTTTCATTTCTTTTACTTTCTAACATCTATTTTGCTTCATCAATTTTTTTTTTATCTTTAAAAGCTTATTAAATTCTTAGTGCACTTTCCTCTTACTCTTTTTTTTATTTTTCTTCTCTCTCCTTTTATCTTCTTATTCTATCCTCTTCTTTTTATTTTTATTCATTAACAAATTTTTCTCTCTTTTTTTATTCTAATAATGCCTTAGCTTCTGCTATTTATTTCTTTTTTTAATATGCTATTTATATCTTTAAAGCTGCATCTTCCTCTTCTTTTAAAAGCTTTTCTTTATCTTCCTACTCTTACAATAATCTCAATTTTTCTTTTTCTTCTTATTCTTATTATAATCTTAATCTTTCTAATTCTTCTTATTACTTTTTTACTTGTAATTCTGCTAAATATTATTCTTTTTCCTTCTTTTTTTACTCTAAAATTTTTTTACCCTCTTCTTTTTACTTTTTTTATTTATATGCATTTTATATCAATATTGCTTTCTCTTCTTCTTCTTTTCTCAATTATTCTTCATATATTCTTTATTCTCTTTCTTTTTCTTTTTATTCTTCTTCATATCTTTTTTATTCTCTTTCTTTTTCTTTTTATTCTTCTTCTTATCTTCTTCTTAAAAGCTCTTATTCCAGCAATAATTGTTATAATCTTTTTTAATATTCATCCTCCTGTCTTTTTTTATCTTCTTACTGTTATTTTAATAATTATTCCTACTTCTTCTTTTATTCTTTATCTTCTAAATACTTTCTCTTTTTTTCTTTTTATTCTTCTAGAATCTTCTTACCTTCCTCTTTTTATTTTTTCTTTTTATAAGCTATTTAAATTTTCATAGCTGCATCTTCAAAATCTTCTTATGGTTTTTATTAATAATCATCAAATTCTTCCTAATATTCTTCTTCTTCTACATTATTTTTCTTCTATTTTTCTTCTTCTACTTTTACTGAATTTTATGAATTTTTATCTTCATCTTTTTCAAAATAATCATCATAATTCTCTTCTTCTTCATCTAATTTCTTTTTTTATGTTACATTTTAATAATTAGGATCATTATCTATTATTTAAGATGAATTTTTAGCATTACTTCTTATTTTCACCTATTTAGAAGAATCTGAATTTTAAGTTTATATTTTGATATAATCATTAGGACTATCTTATTTTTATGAATTTGGTGGAGAATTTGATGATTATGGATTGATTTATTTTAATTATTGATTTACTTTAACATCATCTCTAAAAAATTATTCCCATTATAAATTTACTAAATCCTTATAAACTGAATAGATATGAATAAACAACTAATCTTTTTAAAGTTCAGTAATCGAAATTTAAGACTCCAAAATTAACTATTCAAATTATCTTATATTTATATATTCTTAATTTGGAAATTTGTATTTAAATTTTCTTGTCAGTTCTTCTTTATTTTTTTATAATGTCTAATTTATATAAATATTCTATTTACTTTTCGAATTTCTTAATAAATTGATGATCCATCATATGTTATATAATCTTAAATAAGTGATAAAATCATATTTTTAAATCTATTAGCACTAACCATTTTCTAAATTGGTTAATCATATCCATCACTTTTCAATAATGCTTTTGCAAATTTTTATGCTTTATTTGCATCCATATCTAATTTAGTTTTCAAAAATTCAACAACTCCATTTTCATTAAGTCTTCCTTTATTTAAAGAAGACAATTTCTTTAATATAAGTAATTTAATACTTCTTTAAATTTTGCAAATGGAATATTATCCAAAAATAATTAGCAACGAATTTCATCTGCATAACACTAAGCTAATTCTTAATCAAGTAAAATAGAATCTGTACTATTATTTTATCTTAATTATTCCTATTATTATAACTATACTATTTATTATTATTAAGAATTATTATTATTATTATTATTATTATTAAAATTTTTAGGACTAGATGATTATTGTTGCTAAAGATTTCTTCCCTATTTTTATTCTAATTATTTTCTATTGTCTGATTAAAATTTCTTTAATTGTTACTCTAATTTTTGAATTCTCTCTTTTTATTCTTCTACCAAATAATTCAACTTAGTTCTCTCTTCTATATCTCTATCAATCTCCTCCTAACTGATTATATATTAACCATTCGTTCCTCTCTTCTTAAATACTTATAATTTCTAATTTAACATCTACATATCTCTTGCCTATTTATTTATTTATTTCTATTATTATTGCACTTAAACTTCTAATTATGTATTCCTCTCTTCATAAAGTCTAAAATCCATAATTATTTTACTTGACTATTTAAACCAATTCCTAATTATCCTTCAAATAGGTTTCATTCTACTATTACAACTCTTTTACAAATTCATTATTTGTTGATTACTCCTGAGCATGACTATGATATTAATAATTTTACTTTTATTATTACTATAATATTTCATCACGTTCCTTTAATAGTTCTCTTAATCTCTATAGTTCCTCATATACTTCTCTAATTTCAGCCTTAATTATTATTCATTTTATACATCCATCTCTTAGAATTTGCTTACTTTTGCATTTTTCTTATAATTTTATATTATAATCTCTTTTTCTCTTAACTCATTTTGTTACTCTTTTATTTATCTTTTCATTTATAGAAATAAAGATGTCTAACAATATCAATATATTATTCTAACCTCAACTCCCAATTTCATCTATACATTTTTCAAATTACCATTATTTTGAAAATCCTCAATTATTCTCTCGTATTTTTATATCGTTTTCTATGAATAAATATTTAGCTTATACTTCTTATTATAAAATTGTAGTCCTTAATTAATAATTGTCTGTCTTTAAGTGATTGATTTGTGTCTTAGCTTATGATAAATGCTCAAAAAGTCTTTCTTTATCAAACACCTCCATATTATTTCTAAAAAAATCAGTTTCTTGTTAAATCTATCTAGCTCTTATCTCATTCTAACCACTCTATGGTCTATCTTCCATCAAGTTATTCACTTTTACTTTTTTCACACTTCTTAAAATCAATTAAGTTACATTTTAAATCCTTTTATAGAATTTCCATAAGGTTGACTAGGAGGTATTTTTTAATTAGGATTTTTAGCTGATTGAGCTCGAATAGCTTTCTATTAATTTCAATAAGCTACATACTTATCTCTCCGACATGTGAATTAATAATTAATTATATTTATAAAGCAATTACATTTGTATAAAAATTGTATCTTATATCAAATAGCTTAATAACAGTAAGGATCATTTATTCATTTTAAAATGTACTTTTTTTTTAATATTTTCATTATTTTTCTATACTTATTTAAATTAGCAATATTTCATAATCATTTTCACCTGAGCATTTTTACTTCTTTTCTAAATTTTTCTTACTTCTCTTAATTTTAATTAAAGAATAATAATTTATTAAATATTTTGCACTCTAATCATATTAATCAATTTTATTATTAGAAAACACACAACAGTATCAATTTTTCTATTCTTTTTTTAATGAAGTTAAATAAATAAATACTTCTCTATTTGCTTTTTCAATCTTTTAAAGCATATTGTAAAAATATATAACGAATCTCTGCTAATAATAAAATTTATTAAGATTCTTATTTATTGCAGATAAATTTATCATCAGATGTCTATAACTCTTAAATTCAAAATTTATTATGAATAACTTTTTATTATGGTTTTGAAGAGCTTTTATAAATACAAAAATCATTTTTATTTTGCTCTATTATTGAGAAAAAAAAATTTTGGAATTTTGAATTTTATATGATTTACCAGAGTTTACACATGCATTTCCCAAACATATCTTTTGATAAAGGTTTCTTAATTGTTATTTTATTATTTCTGGTTCATCCAATCTAATGACTTCTATATTCGGAATATTTATACAGTCATCATCATTAAAAATATAATTTTTATAGAGGATAATAATTCAATAACTTTCTTTATTTTTTCAAGTTCAAATGCTAATTTTTTTAATTACCTCTATTATCTTCTCTATCTTACTATTCATCAATTTTCAAAAGTACATCAATATAAACGATTTTTAATCATTTATTAACGAATAATTTATTCCTTTCTTATGAATTCGTCTTTCCTATTTGTATTTTTGAATACATTTTGTGATTAGATTACTTTTTAATTTTTTGTTTTCTTAATTATACTGTTAGATTGATTAATTCTTCATCATCAATTTTAATTTTATAATTTGAATATAATATACAATATAAGTTTCAATTTTCTATCATCAATTATTATTTACTCTATTAAGTAAAAATATAAATATTGAATAAATTATCTTTGTCTTTAATTAGGAATATTATTTTATTTAATATATGAAATTCAGTCAAACTCCAAAATCAACTATTACAGAAAATTTTAATCCACCTCCTGGTTATTATATTGGGAATGATCTAAATGATATGTTAAATACAATAAAAACTAAACCACCTTAATAATAATTCTCAAGATCAGATCGATTTGGAGAAATTTAAACAAATATTAATGCTTAAAGTAAAACAGTAGAAGGATTTGACAAAATTGCTTATTAAGCCTCTTTAAAGCATTCCTTTCAAAATTAGAAATTAAAGGATCGTAATTACGTTTATTAAGCATAAGTATGTAAGTTTTATTAAAATATTATAGTCTTAGCAATAATTGAAAAAGACTTAAGAAGTTGATAAGAAAATGAAGAATTTGCTTATCAAATAAATGGATAATTGTTTGAATTAGCAATTAGAAATTGCACCTTCAGGATAATGTATTTTAGATAAATCTAAACTGTTGCAAAAATTATAAACTATTGCTCCATTATAAGTATAAATAATGAAGTAAAATATTAGCCTCCAGGACCTGGACATTATAATTCAAATGAATCTTTTGTAAAACCAAGAGTTAGAGGCACTATCATAAAAGAGGACAGTAAAAGAACGACATTTTAAGAGCCTTTTTTGACAGCTGATGTTATTTATGGAAAATAATTAACAAATAATGGGTAAAATGAATCTGAACCCAATTTAACATAAAAGTAAAAATAGAAGAAAATGAAATTTATTTAAGGAGATGAATATAATTTAGAAAAATTATTTGAAAAAGATAAGAAAAAGAAAGAAAGATAAACAGCTCCACCACCTGGATATTATGAAATTGAATCATAATTTGGAAAAATTACAGAATTAAATTATTAAAATTAATGTTTTGATAGTAGAGAACCAAGATTTAAATATAATCCAGATGAAAATCCTGGACCTGGATAATATAAAACTGATAATTAATTTAATGAATCTGGAGGATATATGTCAAAACTACCTAGATAACCTCCAAAAGATAATATGATTGTTCCTGTTGGTAATTACATTGTTTAAGATTTATAAAAACCTTAAAGAAAAGATGGACTCTTTCCTTCAAGTTTTGGATCTGGATCAAAAAGAATGAAGGAAGTAATTGTTAATAATGATATTCCTGGTCCTGGTAGTTATGATAATTTAGTTTTAAAAAAGAAACAGTTTAAATATGTATTTAGAAAGAAAGAGAAAAGACCTATGATTGAGAAATATCCAGAATCATTTGGATTATCAGTAGCAAAAGAATTGGTATCAATAAATACAACAAAAGAACGTAGTAAATCACTATAAAAACCAGTATAATAAAAAACTTAATTAGTAATAATCTTCTATGTTTTCTTCAAGTGTCCAAAGATTTAAAGATAAAAAGATAACAGAAGAATTAGGTCCAGGAAGTTATACATAACATGATTAATTTACAAAAACAACATTTAATAAAGGAAATGATATATTTGGAAAAGGATAAAGAATATAGTAATAATAGATGTAAGAGATTGGTCCTGGTGCTTATGATGGTGATTACAGAATTCTAAAGAAAAATTTCGTAAGAGATGTTCATTTTTGACTTTTTTTAATATATTTAAATCATTTAAACACATTTTAAATCTTTTCTTTAAATAGATCTGCTTTTTCTTTTTCTTTAAACATAACTTTAAGAGAGTCTATTTAAACAGGATCTTTATTTTGTGATTAAGTCATCTGTTATTATTTTCTGCTAATAGCCCTTAATAATACATTTTCTTATTTTGAACCCAATGGTTTAATTTCAGAAATACCTTTAAATAATTGTCCTGTATATAAAATTTATTAGATTTAATTCCTACAAAATAATAATGATCGATAATACCTATATATAAAGTAAAAAGAATCACTCTCTTTTGATTTCTCTAAAGCGACAGTTCCTTTTTCTAGAACATCGTTAGTATTTCTTCTAAATTTTTCAATATCAGACACAAATAATTAATCAGTTTAAGTTGAATAATCATATTTCATTTCAATTTATTTTGGTTCTTCATCATCTGGTTTTTATTCCTCTTCCCCTCCTAAATTATTATTATATCTATAAATATACCTACATCTTCTGCACCATCACTATCATCTGATTTATGAACTTTAAAATCTATACCAAATAAAGATGGACCAGGTTTAGTTAAATCAATCCCATTATTATTTGGCTCTTATTTATTTATATTGGCAAACAATCCTGTATTTGGTTAAGATGAACCAAACAAACTTCCATTTTGATTTAAAGTCATTCCCAAAGTATTAAATAAATTGGTTCCATTATTTTTAAATAAAGATTCTAATTAACCTCCATCTTTCTTTTCACTTGTTTATGTCTCTTATTTTTCTTATTTTTTATCCTAAATTTAATTAGAATCCTTTTCTTATTAAGGTTCAATGTCTTCAACTCCTTTTATAGAATCATCTAATTTCGACTTCAAATCAACTGAATGTTCAGCCATATTACAATTAAAATAATTAAATTTATAAAAGTTCCTATTTAATTTTCTAAAATCATTATTTTATTTATATTCTATTTAATAATCTTATATCATTCCCAATTACCACCTGTCCATCTTGCCTTTATTTCTAAAGTTTCTCCACAAGGTATTGATAATTATTCTAAAGTTCTGTTAGATTTCACTCCCTAAAGTGGTATATCATTTTAATAAAGGTCTAAATCAACTATAGATCTATTTTAATTCTATTTATTACCTATCCTAAAATCCAAAATATTTAAAAAGTTAATCTTTTATATCATTTATTGTATTATTCTTTGATAAATTTTTTAATTCAAATCCTTGTTTACTTAAGTTAGCTGTTGTCTTGAATCTCAAAAAAAACTATCCTGTAGTATTTAATAATTATGAATTAGGATTTAAATCCATGACTGATGGTTACTATTTTATTTATTATGATCCTTATATCTATTTTTAAGATTCATCTATTTTTTATTATGATTTTTTTAATTCTTACGAGTCGTCAAACTAAGGAGGTTCACTATCGATTAATGATGGTTATGATTTTATTGCTGTATCATACTCAATGAATTCCTCTTCTCTCAATATTAGTAATTCTACAGGTGCACCTTAAAGAGCAATCATTGGAAAGAAGACTTCTAATGATTTATTTAGATCGTCTCCTTTACATAAGATTGATCTATCTGGCAAGTATACTCCTGGATTATTTAACATTTATAATTTTCTATTTTTATTCACATTTTTTTTACGCGTATCCTCCCTCAATTGTGTACTTTATAATCTCTTTTAGATTTGTCTTTGGATTTATCTAGGCAGTCAAACTCCTTCCACAGTATTTTACAGATACTCTTATGTTCATTCGTCAATTAATTTATAATATAATTTCTATTAATAACTCTCAATAAATATTATCAATTAAATTAATATATTCAAAATTCTTACAAATCCATATCAAGATCCCTATCATTATTAATTTTTAGCATTTCTTAATCTTCATCATTTACATATTAATTATTGTTGCTTACTTCTTAATTCATAATTTCTCTGATATTATCTATCATTTTTTATAAGTAAGTCTTGTGGCTTTTTAAAGAGTTTATATAAATTATCTTTAAGTTTTCAAGCTATACACAAGTTTCTATTTATCCCAAAGGCTCAATTATTTATTCTTTATTTAAAAGTATAAACATGTTTTATACAAGCTAAGGTACTTAATCTAATTATTTAGATTTTTAAATTAGGTTATCAGCAATATATTCGGAAGTATAATTATTTTCAAAATAAATTAAAATCTCTATTAATTCATAATAAAAAGCTTCATTTAATAAAAATTTTATGTTTCTTATAATAGAATTCCATTTTTCATTAATTAAAGTTTATTTCTAATACCCTAATTTAAATAAATTGTTATTTCTAAAAAAATAAACAATGTTTAATTTTGTGCATTACCAACCAAACAAACTTTTGGCAATACGTTCCAAATAATCATAGAGAAGTCTAGTGTTTTGAATAACTTGATATTTTTATTATTTTTATTTAATCTTTTCATCCTACAATTTATTTTTTTTAATTCTGTTTGTTCCTGCTAAATGTAAACTTACATGCCTTCCTATACTAATTAAATACGAAATTAAATTTTTTTCTACCTTTTAATAACTCCAAATTTTTGGTAAATCAATATCCTGTATAGCTTTACTTATTCCTACAGGTTTGCCAACCTCTTTCTTGGTTCGCTTATTACATTCAGCAATATCTTTTGATTTTTCCTTAGATATACTTTTTTTTATCATTTAAAAAATTATTATTCCTAATTAACAGGTATGTAAATCTTAATAACTAAAATTTATTATTTTAATAGAATTATTGAAAAAAAAATAATTAAATATTTTAAAAATATATTATCCTAGATTAATATTTATCAATCTTATTTATATTAAATTTTTCAATCTTATTTATATTAACAATCATCTTCATCATCTATCTACATGCATGCCAATAATTCATTGACATATGTTTCATAATCTAGTTTTGTTGATGGTTTATTGTAAAATTCTTGATAATAAGTCTCTACCTTTTATTCAAATTTTTTTTTTTCTAGTAAATCTGTGTCATTTTAGAATTAGATTAAATATTTAGTAAAAAGACTTTGCAAAATAGTCTCAGCATCCTTTAAATTCTTATTATTGTTTTCATGAAAAAAGTTATGAAGGTTAAATACTTACAATAAACCATCCTGATATCGCAAATACTAATGGTATTCATTTAAAAATTTTTAATTTAACATTGGCGCTAATTTTTATAAAGGAGGATAATTTCCATAAATTTCATAGTTATTTATCAGAACTGGAACACCATCTATAATCTAAAATTCAGGATGAGTAGAGCTAAAAAAGAAAACAATACAATTTTTATTAGAATTTTGTGTAACTAGACAATAATCACCTATGAGTTTTGCTATTTGTATTTCAATATTATTAAGAAATATCCCAGGTATCTCTTGTTAGTTTTGTTTCTTTTTTCCTTTAATTTACATATTCTAATCTTAAACTGGCTTTTTTGTTCCTGTTTGTTAAAAACAAATAAATCTTCCAAGCCGAGAAAGAGTTTAAATAGCTTATGTGCTCTATTAGTTAGAACTCCAAGCATTAGTTTTCTCTAATGGTTTTGAAGAATTCATTCCCTTTGGCTTACCTATTTTATTAGTCTTTTTCTCATTGGATTGATTAGAAGATTTTTAGGTCTATTATTACATTTTTTTATTTTATTAATATCATTAATTATTTTCTTCATTATACATTTAAAGCTTTTATTAGACAACAATTAATCTCTCAGCTAGGGTCTATTTCTATTAATCTAATAAAATTATCATATACTTATTATAATTCTAAGGTATTTTTTTCATTTAAGACAATCTTTTCGTATTCTTCTAAAAAAGCTATTTTTTACTAAATTTTTTCCATTTAAATATTAATGATAGCATTAATACATTAATTTAGTTTAGATTCTTCTTTTACAATTTCAGATTCTGCCTTTTTGATTGAATCTTCTTTGAAATGTGCAATTAAATTTTTATCTAGGTCATTCTTTTATTACATAAAAAATTACTAATGAATTTTATAAATTTGTTTATTATTGAAATAATTCTTTATGTGGACTACCGTTGCATAATATTTCACCATTAGGTTATTTAGATTCCTCTACTTAATTAAAGTGTTTATGAAATATAGATATATGATAAGCATAAAGATTTGAAGAATCCGAAAATATTTAAGGCTAATATTTACATTCAAAAATAATACTTCTTCACTAGCTATCTTACTAGCCAAATCATAAATAGTCCATTTTTACAATTATTCCTACCCTTCTAAGGAACGAATCATTGAAGATTACTTTTTTAAAGGATGCATTAAAAAATTAATCAGAACTTAAACAACATCTAATTTTGTTTTTCTATTCTCATTAAGAAATTCTGTAATTTTATCCCAACTTATTTCTGAATTTTCTTAGATGTAAGTTAACATATCACATAATTCCTTATCACTTAGTTATGAATCTAATTGTTCTGTTTAATCAATTTATATATTAATATTTTTCAATTTTTCTTCAATATCAGTTCTAAAAAAATCCTCTGCACAAAGAATGTTTGGAAAATGATTATTTCCATAACATTTAATACATAGAATAATTTCTTTAACATCCTTTATAGGTTTTTATTGGTACCAAACTAAATTACATTTCATTTAGCATGAGTCGCAAATAGGCCTAATATTATTTTATCTTGTAACCTTAATTTAAGTGATAAAGCTCTAACAGAATCAATAATTTATTATTCACTTAATTAAAATTGTTGTGAATTATTTTTAGATTAAAATAATTCATGAAATAAATTATCAGGAATAGCAGGTTAAGGTAAGATTTTATTTGAATATTGATCTGAATCGACTTGGGAGTTAATAATTCCCCAATGATTTAAAAATCCATGAATTCTAACAATTGTACATGCATCAGCTGCTAATTGTCTTCTACAAGCAGTAGTTGTTAAGTAAATATTAGGAGTATTATAATATAAATTAATAATAAAGTTTCTATGTTTTTTATAAAGTAAAGGTGTTTTATATTTGTTTTCTTGATTGAAATATTCTTAGAAATTTTGTTTTTCAATAGAATGAATTTTATCAATTCTAAACCAAGATGTACAAGAAGGTACTATAATATCAAATGATCTTTTTTTAGTAACAAAAGGATCAGGAGGGAGAATTTCAAAATTTTAAGGAATAAGTGATTGATTAATTAATGTTTATTAAATGATGGGTTTATAGGTTGATTATGGAGAGGCATAAATAATGGATTATTTAGGTTATTATACTTAAATAGTTGATTGGATTCCTGGATTTAATTATGGATATAAGAATGATTGTTAAGGAGAAAGAATAGTTGGATTGATTTGAATTTATTATTATGGTATTTATGGTTAGGAAGATAATGGTATAATTTAAGTCTTATTTTTGATCTAAGTATTTGATTGTGGAGGAGTTTATTAAACGATACTTTTTGGTATTCGAACAGTAGTATCAGCATCATGAACAATAAATCCATTTGTAACTTTCTTGAGTGTAACTTTAACTTATGGCATTTTTTTCTAATTCATTAATATATTTTATATACAAAATTTGTGTATATGAAAATTTTCTATTTTAATTAATTTTGTATAAAATGAATACAAAGTCATTTGAAGTTTTGATACATTCACAATATGCTTTCCATAGATGTAGATCTGAAGTGCATAAGTATGAAGATTGCAGATAAACAACTGCTCCAATTCCAAAAGATCCACGTCTTTGTAGAAATACGGCTAGAGAATTGATTGGATGTTATAAAGAAGCGTATCTGAAAATGCTTTTATAATGATTAGTGAACGTATGCATCCATTATGTTTGGCTCCATTTAATGATGTTAGAGAATGTGTTTTTAAATCTGATGGAAATATCTTCAATTGTAAGAAAGAATCATAGTAATTCGTTGATTGCCAAATGGATTAAGATAAATATCAAGATTTCTTAGCTGTAATATCATTTAATACAATTAGCTTTCAACAGATAAATAAAAAGAAGCTTTATAATTTGATTTCTTCAACTACAGAGGACATTTTGACAAGTATAGTTGAAGTAGCAGTGATTTATAAATATAAAAAGACATAATAATATTAATAATATCGATTATTTATTAAATGACTGAGTAATACCCCTTAAATCAACCACAATATTAAGATAAGAATAGAAATCAATATCAAAAGAATTAAAATCAAACAAATTCAAATCTAAATTATTCTTATTACAAATAATCATCCAATTTTAGGTAGCCTTTTAAGTAAAATCATTTCCCATATTAAATAGTAAAAATCAAAATCATGATAGACAAACCAACCTTAACTACTCATATAATTATAACAATAATAGACGAAATAATTATAGATACTCTTAGAAATAAAGAGATTATCACTATTAAACATAACCTGAATCTATTTATTATGATTAAAAGATATCCATCCAATCTGAAAATCAAAATAAATAACTATAAACAAATGAAGAATTAACCCAATTGATTGATTAAGGTAATCGAGATTCTCAATTCTAAAATCAAATCTAAATTGATAATCAATACATTCAAAATTCAAAACTGCAAGAAATTAATATATCTGATAAAGCTTAAGTTTCTAGTGATACATAAGAACAAATTAATAAATAGACACTATAATCATAATTATAAATAAGTACATCCATAGTTTAGACTTAAGACCAAGGCACTCAAGAAAATTAAAAATCATAGAATAATGAAAAAGTTTAATCTATTTCTAAATTAAATACAGAAAAAAACGTTTCACTATAGAACAATCAAAATCAAGAAACTCTCTGCATATAATAATAATTGATTTAATAAAAATAAATACCATTATTAGTATAATTTTTGATTCTACCTAATGACACTACTTCAGAACCATAATTGATCCCATTAACATTAGTAATTATTAAAGTAATTATCTATAGTAAAACTTAACATAAATTTATGAGTAGTTAAAGCAATTAATTTAACATGATTAACAATAAAATTGAGATTAAAATAGTGTTTGTGCATATAAATATTATAATATCATAAACTATTAAATTTCATATATTCTGGTTTTACATAAAATAATTCACAAATCAGATTTGCTTCTGTTTTATTCTGTAACTGTAAGCTAAACTTTTTATTTTATAAAAGCAGATAGATTCTCTTTACTAAACTCTTGATCAAAATTTAATGGATTAGATGTCACTTTTGGAATATATAATTTAAACCCTGGATAATTCTCTATCTTCACACTATCCAAATCATTATAGGATAAATCTATTTAAGCCAATACTAAATTATCATTATTTTTCAATTCCTAAGCTAAATCTTCAAATTCTGGTTCATAACTATGTATACCATTCATATATTACCATTTACTATTCGATGTTTGACAAAACTATACTAAAATATGTTTTTTGGAATTCAAAACTAATTCATCAAATGTATCACCTACTACTTTCAGAACATTTGTTGATTAAGTAGGTATTGGTTAAGATTTTTATTTTCTTTGAATTTTACCATTATTGGCTCCATAAACAAATCTCATAACATTTTCAACAGTTATTTATCCTTCTAATTTATAAACTTCATTTGTAGTCTTATAATAATACACTGAAGGGAATGTTGGATTATTTATAAACAAATGACCTAAGACTTAATTCAACATATAATTATCAGAAAAAACAGATACAACAGTTATTCTTTTTTTAATGTTTGGAGCAATCAATTTTAAGACTTCTTTTGTCTCTTAACTTTATTGATTCCAAAATAGAATTAAAGCAGGTGTATTTTTATTAAAAATATTTGTGTAACTTTTATTTTCTAATTCTTCGAATGATGGAGTTGAATTTTCATATAAAAAATCAGTTAATTTTTGTAAAGTTATTTAATCTGTAAATTCTTTTCTTCTTTCTTCAAATGTTCTAAATAAAACTATTTATCCTTCATCTACATCATACAATTTCTATTAACATTATTTTAATATATTACTCTTGCATAAGCAGAAGTTGTGTAACCAAATTTCAAATTAGGGAATATTTTGGCAGCTAATGAATAAATCTACAATTCTGGTTATTATTAATCTTTAACAAAATATAATAAACTCAAACTATTATCACTTAAAAACTAAATAGAAATAATAAATTTATTTTATACCTTGTAAACATCATCAATTTCATCAACTCTTACTAATTTATCCTCTAAAGCTTAAGTTACAAAATTCATTAATCCATTAGCACTTCTATCACCATTATAAGGTACTGCATGTCCTTTAATGAGTAATATTATGGTTGGGAAACTTGATACTTTGTATCTATTTTCAAATTAAATTATTAAACTTGTTCATAGCTTATTTTTCCTGATCTCCACCATTTAATTTGGCAACAACGAAAGATTGACCAGCTTCTTTCACTTAAGTAGCAAATTGAGAATACTCTGGGGCAAATTATTTGCAATGACCACACCTATAATGAGAGGTAAAATATCAATTTAAACCACGAAGCGTAAAATTCGACCAATAAGTAATCAAATTGCTTGATAGCAGCATTTATAGTATTATCATTTAGTACTAACACATCTCCATCATAGGGAAATGTGTATCCAAATGCTGATAATCCAATCAAACAAAGTATTAAAAACTTTAACATAATTAAATATATATATAAATTTTTAGATCCATATATTTATTTATTTATTTTTGTTATTGCTGCTTGAAATGCAATATAATTTGAATATATAAATACTACCATAAGCATTAGGAATAAGCAGTTTTCTCTTAGTTTGGATTATTAACATACTTTTTCAGATTTATTCAATTTTATATTGGAGTAACATTAATTAAAGTTATTGTTATCATAATCTTAGAATTAAAAATAGAAATTTTGTTACATGGGCAGTTAAAGATTAATCAATAGGATTTCTTAATTATAGATAAGAAACTAAAATAATAGAAATTTTAGGAACGATTCGTTCATCCTTTTTTAATATTTATTCAAACAAGGAACTAATATCTAAATCATAGAGTTTAGCAATTTAAGGTAATTAATATTTTTATCTTGAGAAACTCAATAATAAGGATTATCATTAAAAATCAAAGAAAAACAATAAGTTCATAATAATTTAATGTATATAATAATATATTGATCATTATTTAGAGAGTTACATTTAAAGATTGATAATAAAGTAAATTATACTATTAAACACGAACTAGATTTATTAGTTTTTGATTTAATATCTATTATTTAGGGAATGTATGATAAAAAGTATACATAATAAATACTTTAATAGTTATCAAATTTAACATGGATAAAATATTTTAAATTAAATTGATCCAAATCTTAAATTATAAGATATTGGAATTTTAAATCAAGCATTCTTAACCTGATGAAAGTTATAACCTAATAGATTTTTAATTAAAAATTAATTTTAAGGTTCAGAAGAAGAAATTTAAATTACTTTTAACATATCTGATGGTTCAACGGCTAAATAATTGGTTTTAAAACAAAGTTTAAAATTGAATATAAATCTTTTCTAAGCATCTAATGCAATTTATATATATTTATAATTAACTCAGTAATTTTACAATAGTAAACTTAGAGAATGAGCTTTTTTCCAATTTATTATTAATGATGAAGAAATAGCAGAGAATTAGACTTTAGAATAATTAGGGGTATAATCCAATTAAGAAATAAATGTGAAACAAAGATGGTTTGGAGGATATAAGTAGAAATGTGTTTTTATTATTATTCTTATAATTATTGTGACTTTTAAATTTTATTATTTTTAATAAAGATTTAATGAAAAAATATCATCAAAGTCTTATTCAAACTATTTTAGATAATTTCTGAATGTAATAAACACTTTTTGTTAAAAGCATCATCTTAGGTATTAATGTTAATTATATTTGAATTACATTTTTAAATAAAAAGGCTCCCTTAAATAGTTGTGTCTTAGTTTTTGGTATATTATTAAGAATTAATTAATGAGAACCTATTATTTAGTAATGATAATATTTAAATGTATTAGTTTATAAGTGGTACTTAAAATTTAAGTAAAGAATATTTATTGATAAATAAGTAGGGGATATGAAAATAAGTAGATTTATGATAAAATTAGCTGACTTAGAGATATAATATAATAATTTATAAAATTAATGTGATTTAAAATAATATTAAAAGAATTCTAAAATTTATATATATAATTACTGTTATGAAAAGTTTAAATTATCGATTACCTCATTCGAGATAAGATTCTGGATAAATGAACTTAACAAGATCTTAATTGGGGCAGGCTTAGTTGGTGACGAATGTGTTAAATAAGTAAGAAAGGGTTGTGAATATTAAGCCGATAGAATGAATAAAATATGGATAGATCTCCAGCACCAATAGTACACGGTTTACATAAATTGGCAGTACCTTCAAGTTAGCAATCATCAGCAAACCATTCAAAGAAATCATCGATTTCAAAATAGCAATAGCCTAAATAGATATCATTTCTTAACTACTTAATTCTGAAGGATAAACCTCAAATGGTTTAAGATGAAGAGAAAGAAAGTTGAATATAAAATATGAAATTAGACATAATTGAACCTGTAGTTTAAAAGAATATGTTCAACTTTTAATTTGTGATTGGAATAGGTGGATTTGGAAAGGTTTGGAAGGTTGAATACAAAAAAAATGGATAAATATACGCTATGAAAGAGATGTCAAAAGCACTGTATTGATTACTTCATAATAATTAAGTATAATAGCCAAAAAAAGCGTGAATTCTGTAATGAATGAGAGAAACATCTTGAGTAATCTTAAGCATCCGTAAATAGTGAATTAAATATAGATTTTTAGTGAATATCTATTATGCATTCTAAGACCGAGAGAACTTATTCCTTGTTCTAGATTACATGTAAGGAGGAGATTTGAGATATCATGTAGGTAAAATGAGAAGATTTACAGAGGATTAGACAAGTATATATATAGATAATAAGCAGGATTCTTTATGGCTTGTATTTTTTTAGGATTAGAATATATGCATTCTAAGAATAGTATTCATAGAGATATTAAACCAGAGAATTTAGTACTTGATAAATATGGTAGAATGAATATTTATATTTTTATAGGTTATGTCAGAATTACAGATTTGGGAATAGCTAGAAATCTTAGACCTGATAATTCTTAAGATACTTCAGGTACTCCTGGTTATATGGGTATGTAAAAAAAATAAAGTTTTTTAGCACCAGAAGTTATGTGTAGATAAAATCATTCTTTTGCTGTAGATTATTTTGCCTTAGGAGTTATAGGATATGAATTTATGTTAGGAAAAGTAATTCTATTATTAAAATTCTTAGAGACCATATACAGGTAGATCAAGAAAGGAAATTAGGGATCAAATTTTAGCTAAATAGGTTTAAATTAAAAGATCAGAAATACCTGATAATTGGTCATTAGAATCAGCAGATTTTATTAATAGAGTATATTTACTATTAATTATAATCTAGTTAATACAAAGAAAACCTGCTAATAGATTAGGTTTTAATGGACCTCAAGAATTAAGATAACATTCATGGTTCAAAAATTTTCCATGGTAAAAATTAATGAATAAAGAATTAAAATCACCTTATGTTCCTAATGTATAAAAATTATATTTATTTTTAGCAAAATGAAGATAATTTTGATGCTCGTTAAATATCTATTGAAGATGAAGAAAATAATGAATTAATTTAATAAAATTCTATCATGTTAAGAAGAAATTCAATCTAATGTAAATTATATTAATTATAGATATATAGCTTAATTTTCAGGTTATGAGATGGATAATTTTAGTGAAAAATAAAATACATAGTTTAATAATTTTTGATAGTTATGAAAAATCATTAATTTAAATATATACATTACTATTCATTCTCTATTTATTGATTCTTAAAGTTCTAATTCTGAATTATGCAAATCAAAGTATGTAATAAGCTTTTAAAATTGAATAATTAAAAAAATAATTTATAAATACAAATGTCATTAAGTTTAAGTGATTTCATCAATCAATCATTGGATAAAATAAAAAAAGCAATTACTAAAAAATAGTTTGAATTGAAATAATCAATTGAAGAGGTCTAATGTAATTTATAATAGTTATTAAAAAGAGCTTAAAGATTGTTTTGATGCTAATCATTTAATAAAAGTGTATTAATAATGCATAGAATCAAAATAGGTAAAATTGATAGAGTTTGCATTGTTTGATTTAAAAGTATTAAATGTATTAAGAATAGAATTTAGTAGAATAAGGTTTTATAGCTGGAGAATAATAATTAGGAGATAAAAGGGCAATAGAAGTGATTTTAGATATAGTTATCTCATGTCAATAGGAAAAAGAGGAAACAGTGTAAATACATATGATTAAAACAATACAAGCAATTATGACTAATAGAAAACTTCATATATATGGAGAATAGACAACTAAAGTATTTTAATTGTTAATCAATTTACATTCAGGTATATGAATTATTAAACTTTTAGTTTCTAAAATTTCAATTATAGTAAATACTAGTAAAGAAGCATGTTAGAAAATAGTCAGTACATATTTCTAAAGATTGGAAGATTTTGGAATTTTAACAGAAGAAGAATTTCAATAAGCAATTTAGAAATAAGGAAATCAAGGATCATTGGTATTAGGTAAATGTAGAGCAATGGTTAATGCTGAATAATATATGAGATCACTTATGACATCATTAGTGGATGAAGTTTAGATATATACAGAAAGAAAATAAATATATGATAGACAATTAGAAGATCTAAGTTAAATGAAAGTTATTGATTTAAATTTACATGAACCTAATTTACGTAATGTAACAGTTGAAAAAAACTAGATCTAAGTTTAAGTTACCAATGAACAAAATATAAAAAATGGAAAATTTGGATGGTGTGTAGTATGTAGAAAATAAGCATCACAATATTGTAAAGACACTAAAGTAGCTGTTTGTAGTAAGGAATGCAAATTCATACATCTCAATTAGATGTCCAATTTCTCTTAATGTTATCAACATTCCAATAATAGTGAATTATACTGTAAAGATGCTTTTGATATTATGGACATGTTATGCTAATTAAGTTAAAAAGACAATATGAATCCATAATTACACTAAATTATTATTAAGTGTAAAATCCTTTCACTTGAATTAATCTATGAAGCCTTAGTATAAAGTGATACTATTTTATAAAATAAGCCAAAATTAATTTAAATCTTAAAAGAATAATTATTAGAATCTCTTTTAAAGAACTCTCTCTCCACAGAGAAACAACTACTTATTTTGACTCTTAATATCTTTATACAATTAATTTGGAAGGTAAGAAGTCATCTTAAAAAAGAATTAGAAGCCTTAATTGAAAATGTTTATTTTAAATTTTTAGATAGTAGCAACAGTTCCTTTGATCATAAATAATATACACTTAAAGTTTTTAATAAAATTATGACCAAACCAAAAGTTGTTATCGAAATCTTTGTTAATTATGATTGTTCATTAGGATAAAACAATCTTCTTAAAAAGATTTTAGATATGTAATGCAGAATCATCTAAGGTAGATTTAGTAAATAAGAATTTTAAGCTTCAATTTCTTAAAATTAAGAAACATACTTAAAATCCTTATGTTTAGATAACTATTATGGTTATATCAAATGTCTTAAAGAATTTTGTGAATAGAATGAAGATCAATAAAATTTTATATAAGTCTAATAACTTGAAGATTAAGAAGATACAACCATTCAATAATAATAATTATCACAAGATCCATTAGAGAAATAAAAATAAATGAAATTAGAAATGAATAAAGCAGTAGACAAGTTTAATTTCAAACCTGAACATTGTATAAAACATTTAATTGCTTGTTAATTTATGGAAACTAGAGATGCTAAATTATTTGCTTAATTTCTATGGGAAAATCGAGATTTAAACAAAGATAAATTAGGTGAATTATTTGGTTGTTCAAGTGAATTCAATTAATAAGTATTTCAACAATATATTGATTTTATGAATTTTAAGGATTTATAAATAGATGAAGGTTTAAGATATATGCTTGAATTTTTCACATTACCTGGAGAATCTTAATAAATTGATAGAATTATGGAAAAGTTTGCCTCTAAATATTGTATAGATAATCCTGGAATTTATTAATCTGCTTAAGCTGCTTATACACTTTCCTATTTATTAATGATGTTATAAACAGATTTACATAATGAAAAAAACTTAGATAAAATGACAGTTCCTTAATTTATTAATTTAGCAAAAGGTATTAATGATGGCGAGAATCTTGCATAAGATTTATTACTTGGATTTTATTAAAGAATCTAAAAAACACCTCTTGCTTTACATGCTAAAGAATAAGCTAAGAGAGCACTAGAATAGGCTAATTAAGTAGATTAAAGAAAGAGACATGCAATGTTGGCAAAAGAAGCTGAAGAATCATTAAAAAAATGGTTTAAAGAACATTCAAATTAAGATGCTTATTTTTATGCTAATTCAATTGATCATGTTAAATCATTATTATAATAAACTTGGAGTGCTATTTTTGCTTCAATTAGTGTATTTTTAGAATAGACTGAAGATTAACAATAAATTTAGTTATGTTTTGAAACTATTCAATCTTTCATTTAATTGATGGGTAGATTTGACTTAGATGAAGAAAAAGATACTTTCATTAGTTTCTTATAAAGGTATTGTACAGGTATCCCAAATTCATATAGATAAATATTGGGTGTTTAAGCCTTAATAAAAACAACTATCTAATCTGGGTAATATTTACGTAAAAGTTGGAAAATTGCTTTACAATTAGTTTCAAAGTTAGAAACTTTGCATTAAGTTGTTAAAAAAATAAAAGTGGACAGTCCTTAAAAGGAAAGTTATAATTAAGAAGATATTCAAAATATTGAAAGATTATTTTAATCTATATCATATGATTAAATTGATAAGATATTCAATTTATCTATTAATTTAGATTCAAATTCAATTTTAGAATTTATTAGAGCCTTGTGTGAATTATCAAAAGAAGAAATAAAACAAAATAGAACATTTTTATTAAGCAGAATGATTGAAGTTGCTGATTTTAACATGAATAGAATTAAAATTATTTGGTCAAAAATGTGGGAAATAATGAGAGAACATTTTTTAGAAGTTGGATGCCATAAAAATGTTGATTTAGCAATTTATGCTATAGATTAATTAAAATAACTTAGTTGCAAGTTTTTACAATAGCCTGAATTAGCAAATTATCATTTCTAAAAGGAATTTCTAATGCCTTTTGAATAGATTTTCAGTCATAGTCAAGCTCAATAATAATATAAAATTTAATTAAGAGAATATTTATTATCATGCATGTGTATGATAACTAATGTTTGTTTTAATTCATTAAAAAGTGGGTGGAAAATTATTATGAGTATTGTAAATTAAGCTCTTTAAGAAGATTAATAATAACTTATAAGATTATGTGTTTAGATAACTGATAAAATAATGGAAGATGTTAATAATTAATAAGTTAATCAAGAAATTTATATGGAATTAATTTAAGCATTAATAAAATTAACTAAAAATAAAGACATAAACATAGTTGATAATGCTATTAAATAATTAAAATCATTAGTTGATCATATAGCTTTAATAAAAAAAAATGATAATAAATTCTTGGATTCTTTGTGGATTCCTGTCTTGTCATCATTATCTATTTTATATAGTGATGAGAGAGTTGCTGTTTAATAATTAAGTGCTTAAACTCTATTTGATTTACTTTAAAAACATGGCGTTAATTAATCTAATGAATTTTGGAAAATGATATTGAGAGGAGTTATAAGACCATTATTCGATGAAATACAATTTTCAAAATTATAATATACAAAATAATAATAATAATCCAAGAAATATATTAATTCAACATGCAAAATCACCTTTTAATTATTTACAGATTTGGTAATATCGCATATTTAATAAATGTAACTTTGTTTGAATGATTTAATTGAAATATATATTCAATTGGTTTTATAAACTCAAGATGTAAAAATTAATATTATTTATAGCACATTTCTATCTTATGTCTTTAATCACTAAAAAAGATAATATAAAATGCTGGTTAGTCATTTAAAGAAGATAATTGGAATATGTTAATAGAATAGATTCAACATTTATTATAACAATGTTCTCCAACAGAATTATTTGAGGCATTTAATTTAGATGAAGATTTTTAAAAACCTTTAGAAGAACTATTAAAGGAAGAGATAAAACCAAAAAAATTGAGTTTTAAAATAAATTCATCAGAATGTTCATCGAAATAATCAATTCAAGAAAAATGTTTGGAAATTTTAGAAGTTTAAGTGACTTAATTTAAAGATTAGATAACTTAACAAAATAAATAAATAATTTTGTAAGTGTTTTAGGAATAGTATTAAAAATGTAGAAAATTTAACACTAATTTATATATGAGATATTTTTTAGAATAATGGACTGGATAATGGAATTCTGTAAAGAGAAATTCTTAAGATTTTGATGATTTAGATAACAATTTCACAAGTTAAAGCAAACAGTTAAATTTTATAAATATTGAATTTTTATCAGCTAAAGTGATAGTTTCTCTGAGTAATGACCCTTTGTCTTTTATTGAATCATTAATATAAAGATTTCTTGATGCTTATCATGGATTTTCATAACCATTGCATAGATAAGATACATTAAATGGTAATTTAGAATAATTAAGACATCTTGAATCTTAAATTGTCATTAGTAGATTTCATATATTATTTATGGAAACTGTATTCCCATAATTAAAATAGAATTTGAAATCCAAAGTTGTTAGCAAATGGCTTATTTAATTATTAAAAGCTGGACTCAATGTTTCAGGGGTTGAAAATAAAGAATACAATTAAGTTTTAGTATAATTATTGGAGGAAATTATAAATTGTGAGAATAATGTATTTTGAATCTATGACATCTAATTTATAATTAAAATATCATTTTTTCATAAAAAATGAACTCAAACTTTTGATTAAACCACTTTATTATTCTTATTGTAATTAGGCTGATGGTTATGTTTCCTATTTTCTAGTTTATTATTATTAAGAATGAAGGTATCTATAAAAAGGATCATTAATTATATTACTTAATTGCTCTCAATATTTATTTATATTCTGTAGATTAATAAACTTCTGTTATCTTTTAATTTGACTATTTGTATGTTAACTAAAAATGATCTTCCTTATTTCTATCTGGTACTAAATCTGTAATGTCTGACACATTTACACAAACTTTATCTTTGGTATTTTCGATCTCAATCACAAATTATTCAAATATATTTTTTCGAATAATAATCTATGTATATGCATATTATTTTATACTAAACAAGGTAAATTCATTAAACCAACCTTTTAAACTCTATATTGTTGAATTTAATCTCCAATTGGTTTTGGCTGAACTGTTGGTGTTGGTGCTGCAGGTTAAGGAGCTGGTTTATTTTATTCTTAAATAAGAGTCTATTGCAATTCCTTGTAGTCATTCTATAATTGTCGATACATTTTTTCTTTTTGACTTAATTCCATTTCTTTTTATTGAATTTTTTAATCATAAGCATCTATTTAATGTTTTAAGGTTTTCCTTAATTATTCTTTCTCTCTTTGGAAATATATTGAAATTGTACTCATTTAGTCTCTTCACTTAAGCAGTCAAATCTTAAAGATCTTTCTTGCTTTAGTCTCTGCTAATATTACTTCTTGGAGTTGATTATTTGAATGTATTGAAAAAGCTGCTTTAATCATTTATTCTCGAACAGTCATTTCTTAATGTTTCTCTGTTATGCAATTAAGCTTAGAGAACTTTTATCTATTCTACAAGCAACTGATTTTCTTTTTGCAGATCATTTTCCATTTTACAAATTTATATAAAAAATAATATGATAAATGATGTCTTCAAAATGAAAACTCTTAGAACTACAAAACAAATTCTAAAACTTTAATTAATTATCATCATACAATATACAAATGTTTTGATATTCGATAATAATTTTTAAATAAGCCCTATAAAAGACATAAAAAAAATTTACTTTCAAATCTACACTAAGAGATGTTATATGAAAATTTAATTTTGAGTTATTTGTATATTTTTGAAGATTTAATTCTGCAAAAAATTAATACTAATAAATTAGAAACGTTTTTTTAAGTAATTAAATAATAAAAATAAGGATATCATTAATTTAAGTAAAATCTTTATTAGATATCATTTTTTATATTTTATTACTTATATTTTAGATTTATTTTTTTCGAAAAATGATTGCTTATAAAATTAAGACTTGATAAAAATGATTTTAATCTTTTTATCAATAGTTAGTCTATTATCGAAATAATCATTTAGAGAGTAATTCGTTACAATTAATGTTGTTACTTATATAAAATGAAACTAGTTTAAAAATGCACAATTCAATATTTTTATAATCTAAGCTGATAGAGGAATTATTAAAGCAATTTTGACAATATGGATAAAAACACAAATAATTTATTTTACTCAAATTCATAATTTAATTTAGTGCACATATAATGCATGAATTACTAAAATTGAGTATTCTAATACAAAATATTAATGTATCAGACTAAAATGTACACGAGAGGGAAATTGTAAATTAAAGTTTTGCTAAATTTAAAATAGTTTTTTCATTCAATCACATGTTACTATTTCTATAAGATGAATAGATACAGCTTATTTCTTTTTATCTTATTCTTTTTTTTTTCAATGTTTTTATAGCAAATACTTTGTTGGCTTTTATTTTGCGAAAAATACTTATCTATGAGCTCTTTTGCCAATAAAACTAAGCATGTAGAATTACTTTATTTCCATTTTTATCATTTTAATGAATAATTAAATAAAAAATGTTCAAAAAGCTATATTATTTATATGATTATAAGAATAATATCTGATAAATCGTTTAACCTTAGAATTTTATTATTTTGAATTTTAAAGATAT